GGTTTATACAGTGTGGAACCAGGTTTATACAGTGTGGACCCAGGTTTCTACAGTGTGGAACCAGGTTTATACAGTCTGGAACCAGGTTTCTATGGCATGGAACCAGGTTTATACTGTGTGAAACCAGGTTTCTACAGTGTGGAACCAGGTTTCTACAGTGTGGAACCAGGTTTATACAGTGTGGACCCAGGTTTCTACAGTGTGGAACCAGGTTTATACAGTGTGGAACCAGGTTTCTGCAGTGTGGATCCAGGTTTATACAGTGTGGAACCAGGTGTCTGCAGTGTGGAACCAGGTTTATACTGTGTGGAACCAGATGTGGAACAACAGCAGATGATGTGGACTCGGTCTCACCTTGTTTTAGCTCCTGCAGGGTGAAGGAGGTGATGGAGGGGCTCCTCTCTTTGTATCGACCCGTTTCTGATCCATGGAGCTCGTTAACCAATCGGCCGTGGGCCGGCGGCTGCTCCACTGTGAAGGTGAGGAGGTCTGAGGGGACGTCCAGATCTGAGCCGTCCAGGATGGATGGAGTCAGTTGTGTCATCCCTCCCTCCATCACCTGCAGGAGGTCAGTAAGAGTCACTTGTCTACCTGTGTGCAGTTAGCATGGTTACAGGTCTGAAGCTACTGTTTATCTTAAGTTATCTTTAAAATAAACCAGGTCAATTATTTAACCATTAAATAAACGTCAATTTGGGTCAGGACTCTGAGGGTGGGGTCAGGACTCTGAGGGTGTGGTCAGGACTCTGAGGGTGTGGTCAGGACTCTGAGGGTGTGGTCAGGACTTTGAGGGTGGGGTCAGGAGTTTGGGGGTGTGGTCAGGAGTTTGAGGGTGTGGTCAGGACTCTGAGGGTATGGTCAGGACTTTGAGGGTGGGGTTAGGAGTTTGGGGGTGTGGTCAGGAGTTTGGGGGTGTCGTCGGGAGTTTGGGGGTGTGGTCAGGAGTTTGAGGGTGGGTTTAGGACTTACACTGAAGTTGGCCAGATGTAGTGAAGGTGTCTCATCATTTGTTGGTGTAATGATGATGTAGACAGGAAAAGGGGCGGAGCTGTGAAGCCCATCACTGACACTGATGGACAGCTGATCTACAGTTGGCTCCGCCTCTCTGTGCTCTGATTGAACGTAGTTGATGAAGCCTGAGGTCAGGTGGATGAGGCTGAACAATTCTGGAAGAATAAACTTTGAGGTCAGGTGATCAAACAATCAATCTTATGTGTCTGTAAAAGGAACCAGAACCAGAACCAGAACCAGAACCAGGCAGTCTGATTGTGACCAGACATCCTGACACAGATAAACTGACACGGACCGACCCGAACTCCAGCGTTGCTCTTCTCAGAACCGGGCGCCGGCAGTGTGTTCTCCAGGAAGCCATGAAGGGGAGGAGCCTCCAGGTGAAAGGTCAGCTCTTCTGGGGGGCTGTCAGGGTCTGAGGCTCCTAGAAGAACCCCAGAGAGACAGATGGAGGCTCCTTCGTCCACCACCAGCATGGACTCACCTGGACACAACGAGGACACAGGAAGACCAGGTGAGTCAAGGTGTGGTACAGGACACAGAGCTGCCAGTCCAAAGTGAAGACAGTTTGACATCACGGTGGACTGAGAGGAACAAGACAAGACCCACCTTCAAGGAGGACAAAACTACAACCTGTAGCCGTCTACATGGACAAGACAAGTGTCTTCTGATGACCAGAGGAGACAAAGAGCCAGGTTTATACTGTCTCCATCCATCATCCATCATCCATCCATTATCATCCATCCATCCATCATCCATCCGTTATCATCCATCCATCCATCATCCATCCGTTATCATCCATCCATCCATCATCCATCCGTTATCATCCATCCATCCATCATCCATCTGTTATCATCCATCCATCCATCATCCATCCGTTATCATCCATCCATCCATCCATCATCCATCTGTTATCATCCATCCATCCATCATCCATTCATCCATCCATCCATCATCCATCCATCATCATCCATCCATCATCCATCCATCCATCATCATCCCTCCCTGTCAGGTTTGGGTGTTAATGAAGGGTATTTCTGGATCTGGCTGATAAAACATCCTGTCACAGTAAAACCCAACATGAAGCAGGACTAATGCTTCTCATTCATTCAGTGATAATTAATTAGACTAAGACACCCCCCTCCCTGCGCCCCCATCTGCTAAACCTCGAGCTGCTTGTAGGTGTTCAGTGAATGTAGAGATATGCTGCAGGATTAGGAGGCTGTCATTCCACCGCTGCTTCACTAATCCAGTCAGCGAGACGCCTGCTACATGCTGCTTATTGTGAAGGAGGGATGCTCCTCCGTTCTCTTTTCTTTTGTAAAGACGGCTATTGTCTGCTGTCCACACACTGCTGGGAACCCCCCACAGCTGAGATTATCACACACCCACAGACAAAAGAGGATTTCACATTCACACATCATCTGATTGACAWGAAGACAACAAAAAAACACAGAAAATCACTCCGAACGCAACAAGACTGCAGACTGAGTAAAACCCAGGTCCCCCTGCTCCACAAGGTCCAGGTACCGGCCTGTCTGAAGTCTGCTGGGGACCCTGATKGGACCCTGCAGGAGCCAGGTTCTGGGTCCTGTACTCATTATGCTTCCCCCAGGAGGACCACCTTCCAGCACCCCGTTAGGGCTGAGAGCTGGCCCAAAACTCTGAACAGACCCACACCAGGCCCTCTGGGCCAGKTTGGTTCCCCCTGACCTCCCACACAGCTCAGGCTCCTCCCCCAGGGAGGGGCACTGACCTCCTCACCCTCACCTGTCCACACAAGCATCCATCAGAGCACACTGTGACTCACACAGAACTGCACCTGCTTCGGATGTTATCATCCATGCAATGGACGTTATTAGGTGTTATCAGTCCCATAAAATGGCTTCAGAATGTCTCGCCTGTGTCAGTTAGCAGCTTCCCCGTCCCATAGAATGGCTTCTGATTGTCAGATGGTTAGTATGAGGCATAAAACCACTATGTGGTTAATATGAGGCATCAAAAAATCTGGTTAACATGAGGCAAAAAGCCACTAAGGTTAGTCTTAGAGCAAATGACATGGTTAGCACTAACCTCCGACGTCTATATATTGTGGCCTTCCAATAGGGCAATGGGTAGAGTGTCAGAGCAGGAGACCAGRGSTCGAGACCAACACGGAAACAATAAATTAATTACAATATGTTTTGGTTTTTACACATTCATTGTCATTGATATATTAACCCACTAGGGTGCACTGTCTGGACAGTCTGAAGCCTAGAAGGCACAGTAGGGACCCTCTGAAGCCATTGTATGGGACTGATAACGCCTAATAACGTCCATTTCATGGACTGATAACATCAGAATCCCCTGGAAACCAGAACCATCCTACCCAGAGTGACAGAGGGAACTTTATTGTTGACAGGAAGAATGGTGACATTCAGGTCATAAACAGGAAGTGTCCCGTGGAGAGGGACAGGCGGGACATCCCCGTGACAACAGCCATCCGTCCCTCCTGCCTCCCCGTCTGAGATGATGAAGGTGACAGTGTCGACCACGGGTCCTGGACCGATCTCTGCACCTGCACACACAGCAGTTCAGACTGGTTTTCTGCTCCAGGTAGTGCAGCTYTTCTCCCATGCCCCCTGAATGYAGCCTGGACCTACCTGAGTGGACGTAGTACACGTGACCCTGCAGCAGGTCCTGCTGGGAGAACTTGTCCGTGGTCAGTCCGGACCTATGCAGCTCTCCTCTGCTGGGACTCCGGGCCAACATGTAGGTCAGTCTGGAGTCGTCGCTGTCCCGGTCTGTGGCCGACAGGAAGTCCACCGTCACCTGGACACGCCCTCCCTCCTCACAGCTCAGCTGGGCTTGCAGACCCCCACCCAGCTGGGGAGGCTCATCGTTCACTGGCAGGACCTGAACGTGGGGAGMACAGAGACAATCATCAGGAAACAGGCTGGAAATGATGCTGTGCTGGTCAGGTTCCATCAGATGTTTGGTTTGCAGTCATGGAACCATTTTAAGGTTTATCAGTGGGACCAGTGACGGTGAGGTCAAAGGTCAGTTCAGTTCAATTCAATTCAAAAGTACTTCATTGATCCCAGGCCTCCCTTGAAAAACAAATCTGAGATCTGAAAGGGACTTGTCTGGTAAAATAATGGTAAATAAATAAAATATTTGGTGATGCTGGCCCAGTCCCAGTGCTCAGTGCCACCCTACTCCATCTGAGAAGTGTGGATTCAGTCCAAGTGCACATAAGTGTTGGAGTGCACAGGTTACAAGTGTGCAAAACAACTGAGAATAGGACAGCACAGATTACATCATCAACTTGTGCCTCTGCATCGTAACTGTGACATCCAACATGGTATTTTTTATTGAACCAATATAACAGAACAAAGACAAAAAATCAAAGGAAAAAAATAGTATAGGTCCTCTGGACGGGTTCTTCTCTAATGAAACGTTTCATCTCTCCTCCAAGAGACTTCTTCAGTCTGAGAGTTTCAGG